CAGACCCCAGCAAGCTCCAGAAAAGCTGCCAGCAGCCTTTCGGGCTGGGTTTTCAGCCTTGTGACTGACAAGCGTTGCACAAGTCCAGCCAAGTTCAAGAAACTCCCAGGCTTAGCGGTGTTGTCTGAATACGCCCCACCGGCACAGCTCCTCCAACAAGCGTGCACACATAACCCGCAGACGTGCACACACCCAGGTTCCCCTTCTCGCCCGGTGGCCCAATGCCCAACCAGGTGTGCGCACAATGGAACAAGGATAAGGCGCCAGCCAGCCACCCTCTTTTGCCCTTCTTCAACGGCTTCCTCTTTGGCTCGCTTTCCGCGCCCGGCTCGGCTCGGCCCGGCTCGGCCCGGCCATATGTTTCCAAAGCAGGCGAACTTTCGGCGCAAACCCGCCAACTCAAAAAGTTGAGCGCGGGGGGGGAGTGCAGGGAGCGCGCGCGTGTTACCTGTCCAGGTGGGGTTCCTCCCTCCCTTTCTTGCAAGACTCAGCAGCAAGCGAGCAGGCGAGGCGACTGACTGAGCTCTTTCCTCGGAGGAACAGGAGAAGCAGCAGCAGCAGCCCCGTTCTTTAGAAACGGCCCCTTGGTCCGCCCGGCCGGGCAGCCTTTCCTCAACTAGGCGCCTGCAAGGCAAGGCTCCGCAGGAGACCCAGCTGAGATCAACCAACCGCGGGAGGAGGGAAGAAAGACCGCCCAACGCAGCCGCCGGGAAACCAGGCCTGGAGTCCAAGCGGCTGGCTGGGCGGAACTGGAGCGGAGTCGAAGGCGCTCGCTCCTCTCGAGGAAGTGGGAGGATGGGGGGTGTTGGGGCGCCCTTTCGCGCCGCCGGCTGCCCCCCCACCCCCGCCTTCCTCAAACAGCGTGCTGCCTGAATGCGCTGAGGTGGATCAATTAAAGACAAAGATGGGAAAGAAAGACAAAGAGGAGACAGAACGCTATACAAAGTAGGGGATAAATTCTATCAGGGGTGGGAAGAAAGGAAGGGTGTAGAATCAAAAGAAAGTAGGGTTGGGCAGAACGGAGGATTAGGATTAGAAAATATCGTATAAATGTATAGGTGTATAAATGTACATGAAACATGCATTCCATGCCATAATATGTATGACAAACAGGATTGTCGGGACAATGGCACCATGTCCAATGTTCTTCATAACTTACTTAATAAAACTTTTTGGGGGGAGAAATAGCGTGCTGCCTGGAATTCACATTAGGTTCCCCAGCCCCAAACCACAGCCAGATAATGCCTACTCACCCTGTCTTACTATCCCTGTTTATTTGTAATTTACTCCCCTGTTCTTGTTTATGTTCATACTTATACTTGTTACCTTGCGCACCTTAGATAGATAGATAGATAGATAGATAGATAGATAGATAGATAGATAGATCAAACAAGGTACTAATACCACTCTATAAAGCCTTAGTAAGACCACACCTAGAGTACTGCATCCAGTTTTGGTCACCACACTATAAAAAAGATGTTGAGACTCTAGAACAAAAGTACAGAGAAGAGCAACCAGGGTGATTAGGGGACTGGAGGCTAAAACATATGATGAACGGTTGCAGGAACTGGGCATGGCTAGTCTAGGGAAGAGAAGACCAGGGGAGACGGGGATAGCAGCCTTCCAATATTTGAGGGGCTGCCACAGAGGAGGAAGGGGTCAAGCTATTTTCTAAAGCTCCTATAGGCCAGACAAGGAATAATGGATGGAAACTGAACAAGGAGAGATTCAACCTGGAAATAGGAAGAAACTTTCTGACAGTGAGAACCAGTGGTAGGGTTCAAATTTTTTTACTACCAGTTCTGTAGGCATGGCTTGGTGGGCGTGTCAGGGGAAGGATACTGTAAAATCTCCAGTCAGAGGTGGGATTTGCCGGTTCTCTGAACTACTCAAAATTTATACTACTGGTTCTCCAGAACTGGTCAGAACCTGCTGAATACCACCTCTGGTAAGAACAATCAACCAACAATCAACCTTCAGAAGTTGTGTGAGCGCCATCACTTGAGACTTTCAAGAGATTGGACTGCCATTGGACCACCATTCAGAAATGGTGTAGGGTCTCCTGCCTCCTGCAAGGGGTTGGACTAAATGACCTATAAGGTCCTTTCCAACTCTGATTATCTGTTATCTGTTAAGATGGATAAATGTTAAACTAAACCAAGGTAATGCAGACGTTGGGCTTGGGTGCCCAATGTAAGTGAGCCATGCCTTAAGTGAGGCTTCAGGCAGTGGCGGATTAAGGCTCACTGGTGCCCTAAGCACTGGCAAATCTTGGTGCCTCCCCCTGCTTTGTATATACTGTACAAATGAAGCCAAGCTTAGGCCACATAAAAGTTTTTGTAGTGCCCCCTTTGGGCCTGGTGCCCTGAGCATGGGCTTAGTCTGCTTAATACACCATTGGCTTCAGGGGTCCCGGAGAGCGGACTAAAGATGCGAGGGATGCCCACATTTTTTTTCCTTCAACGGCTCTCTGAGAAAAGCATATTAGTTCTTCTTCCCAAGGATAAAAGGAACAGAATGTTCTATTTTTTAAAAAATTTTAGGTCCATCCATCCTCCGCCTTTCCTCTATTCTGGAAAAGCAGGGCAGTTTAGTTGGGAATAGTGTCATCTTCAGAAGCACCCTGTAGTAGGTGGTAGGAAGTAAGAGTAGGACGATGTGGTTGTGGAAACTGGCTTTTCCTGTACGATTGTTTTTTTTCGTTTAACAACAGGGAATTCGTAGGGAAAACAGCCAAGTCCTCAGTGTACCAGACATATAAAATTATGTGGAAGTGGTAGCATGGCTTCACCACAAAAATCCTAAGATCTCAGTTTCAAGGAAAGAGCTATTTTGTGCTTGGCTTGAAACATACAACAGGGGTAGGTGATTATGGCCCCTTTACCAACCTGTGGACTTCAACTCCCAGAATTCCTGAGCCAGCCTGGCTCACTTCATCTTTCTTTCAATTCCCAGACCTGTGAAGATGGTAAATGCAAGGATTGGTGATAAAGCTACTTGGCAGCATGCATTGCCTTCTGGGTGCTGGCATGGGAGCCACTGACCTATACCGTACTGTTCCTTGGGTGTATAGGTGGTGTTCTTATATACTGCCTAGAGCAGGGGTGTCAAACTCACATTGTCACGGCGATGGAGTGGTGGGATTCAAAATATTTTACTACTGGTTCTGTGGGGGTGGTTTGGTGGGTGTGATGTGGCTTGGTGGGCATGGCAGGGGAAGGATACTGTAAAATCCCGCTTCCCTCCCCACCCCACTAACCTGCTTTCCAGCTCAGTTCTCTTGTGTAGGGCAACAAAAGAAGACCCAGCCAATCAGCTGAGACTCAGGAGGCGGAGAAGAGATGGGGGCGGGGCCAGTCAGAGGTAGGATTTGCCAGTTCTCCCAACTACTCAAAATTTCCGCTGCCGGTTCTTTAGAACCGGTCAGAACCGGCTGAATACCACCATAGGGACTTTTTCCCCCTTCACTAAGCCAGGCGGAGGTGGGGCCAGCACGTGAGGCATCTGGGCCGCGAGTTTGACACCCCTGACCTGGAGTCTCTGAGACTGAGTAAATAAGAACACTGCAAAAGTTCATCCTTCTCCTTGGTGTTTAAGCTTTTCCCAAGCCGTAAGAGGCCATCTCAGAAGGCTCAGCCATCCTACAGCACTCCTCTCGCTCTCTCTCAAGAAAATTACAACCCTTTAAAAATAAATGAAGCTATTTTACCTGAGCTTTCAGAGCTCACCTGGCCCCTGTGATCAGCTCTATCCACTGAATCCTAATGCGCTATTGGGGACAGGATGCACTGCTAGGCTGCAGGGAACGTGACAGCAGTATATCAGTTTGTTAAAATGTCAAATGTTTTTTTCCTAACTTACCCAGAACTCATAGAGGAGGGGGATCATGGGTGGGCTTCAAAAATGTTAGCCACGGGTTCTCTTGCTGGGTGGGCGTGGCCATGGTGGGTGTGGCCTAGTCAGCCTCCTGCATGGGGATGGGGGGGCGTTCATGCCCTCCCCTGGCTCTGGAGGCTTCCCTTGAGCCTCCAGGAGGGCGAAAACGGCCTCCCTGGGTTCCAGAGGCTCTCTGGAAGCCAGAAACAGGCCCATTTCCGACCCTCCCAAACTTCTGGGAGGCCTGTTTTTGCCCTCCCGGAGCCTCTGCACTTACCTGCATCCAAAATGGGCCACGTGGGGACTCCCGGCTCCAGCCTCTGGGGAGGGTGCGTGTGTGTGTATGGTGTGTGGTGTGTGCATTCATCGTGGCCAGTGTCCCATAATGTGTTCCCGGTGGGGGCTGCGGGCGGCAAACTCCGGCCTTCTACCCAGCCGGCCCCGACTGACACTCCAGTCCCAATCTCTGTAAAGATTCCCCAATAAATGGTACCAAATGGCAAAAAAATTAGCTAGGGGCTCTCCCAAACCCCTGCGAACCCCCAGCAGCCCAGCCCTAGAAGGGGAGGAATTGAATATTTCCATAGCCTCACACACCTCCAATCTTGACTACAGCTCAACCACCATCAGGGTTTGGAGAGCTGTTTAGCTATGAGACTCAAGTCTCTTTGCTACACGAGAGCCAGGGACAATGAGATGGAAAACCACCATTCAAAAGTTCTGCCTGTAAATGGATGCACAATCATAACAATCAATTTGTTGCTTAATTCACTATGGATGGGTGACTTTCATACACCCGCTTATTCCTTCTTATGGGTCTTTTTATGTTGGATTTTGATTAGACCAGTGTTGCCTCAACTTCAGCAATCTAAAGATGTGTGGAACTTCAATTCCCAGAAGCTGTGCTGCCTGGGGAATTCTGGGACTTTAAATCCACGTATCTTCAAGCTGGTGAGGTTGAGAAACACTGGATTAGACTGTTCCTCAGAGATACAAGCCCTTCAAGCAGAGGAGACCCTCATCAACCACGCTGCATAGAAAAATCAGTTCAGGTAAAGAGAAAGCAAAAACATGCATAGAATCATTGGGTTAAATTGTTTTTACTATGACATTTTTTTCAATACAATAAAACAATGTTGTACCAGATGCTTGGCAGCCTTGGAAGTTTTTAAAAAAAATCACGTGCTGAAGTCTTGAGCTGATGCCTGCCCACATGTTATAATTTCCTAAGATTGGACACAATACAGTTGAGAAATTTTAATTTCTATTAATTCACCAGCTGCATGCCTAAGTTAGGGGAACAAATGCCAGTTTGAGAGCCCAATCTATACTTGCATTTGAATTCTGCATCTGGGGCTCCAACTTATTTGATCAACCTGGACGTTGGACTTTATTTACTTCACAAAACAATAGCCAGTGTTTCTCCACTTCAGCAACTTTAAGATGTATGGACTTCAACTCCCAGAATTCCCCAGCGAGCCAGCTTCCAGGCTCATGCTACACCCATCAAAGTCCATGCACATAGGATCATCCTTTTAATGCTAAGTTTGTATCCTGTTGGTTTAATTCAGTGGAATTCATGGAATGAATTAAGCCCAACAATTTCTACCTTCATACACATTCCTTCTACTGTCACACATGCCAAGTCACTTATGCTTCTGAATTAAGGCAGTGACTGCTCATCTGTAGTTTACTTAACTCTGGTTTCTAAAAAGCACATAGATACACAATTGGGTGTGCTCACACAATATATTCATATAAAATCACAGTCCACAGTTGTAAAATCACATTGGCTAGTTCGCATAGCCTGTAAGCCATAAGAGGAGTAAACCAGATCTCATCTTAGTATGCTTGTGAATCAAGCTGGTGAATTTCACACAGGCCCTGCGGAAAACATTGATATGTAGAAAGTCAAGCAGTTTGATCCCTATAATGACAAGTCAGATTCCTTTAGGATGCTCACGAGCAGGACTTAGTTTCAACCATCTGTCCTGTTGTTGATCCCTAATCAGAGATCTACCATTTCTGAAGGATAAAACTTTGCTGCAAGTGAACACTTGGGTGGACTATCCAGATTTCTGGTATCCCAAACAGTAAAGTCTTCCTTGCAGTTCTCCCAGGAATTGAAGATAAGGGAGTCAAGATTACACCTGCTTTTTCTTAACCTACTGCTATTCCACCTCTTCTATAAGATCATAATTATTGGCACACTATTGTTCTTCCTTCACATAATGTTCCATCTGTCTACGAAGAACAGGATTTCTGAACCTGAGCCACTAAGATGTATGACCAGAAATTTTCAGAATTCTGGCAACTGCTGTCCACACATCTTAAAATGGTCCAGGGTGAGAAACCCCTGGTCTAGAGTACAGAACAAATGACAAACCAAAGTCCCACTGTAACTAAGGAATCTGTTTCCTCCACAAACAATGTTGATAAGTGGTCTCGTTGGTATAGAACAAAATAAAATTCTCTTAGTTAAGTTTGACTGCCAGAATCCAGGACATCTATTCTTCTAGGAATCAAAATACTGTATTTGAAGACATCAGGGTTTTGACTTGCTTATATTTATAGAACTGGCACTAAAAGAATGCAATCGTTTGTCCCCAGTTAGTCAAACCTCCTAGAGAAATTCCTTGTGACTAGGAAAGGAAATTCCTTGAATCCGCACAGATTTTAATCTATAAGTTCTTTAAAATTTAGTTTTTTTTAATGGAAATGACATCTCCAAGCCACAGGCTTTGTTTGAAAAAAGATGCCATTGCAAAAAATTTACTGAAAACGATCTGAGGTCATATGTCCACTGATGAGATTTGTGTGATGCGGCGATCAGAATCCATTTCGTAACGATAGTGGTACTCCTCCATCAGATTCTGGCAAGCATCCCGTAGACCATTCATCCAGGTCTTGATGCCCTCACGATTCAGGTAAAGCACAAAGAGGAAGATGATGCCAATTATCCCCAGAACTATACCCAATGCAGCATATGAGGACTGAAGAACATTTTCACTGTGTTGACTGTAGTGGCACTCCAGATCTGCCCCCACTAGATCCACCAAGGAGGTGTTCTTCAGATCCTGGGGGAAAATGCAGGCTAGTTTTTCCACATCTGCTACTTGTCGGCTTTGGTTCAGCCAGTTGACCAGTTCTTCAATGTCACAATTGCATACAAAAGGGTTGTCTTTCAGAAAGAGGCTAAGGTGGGATTGTCTCTCCAAGGCAAATAAAGCTTCCCTCCTCAAAGTTTTCAAGGCGTTTGAGGTCAAATCAAGGTACTTGAGGTGAAGTCCAGAAAAGGTAGAGTTCTTAATATCTATCAAGGAATTGTTCCTCAAGTCTAAGTACTCAAGTTTAGGGAGGCTGGATAACATTCCAAGGGGCAAGTAGATGATCTTGTTGCTGGTGAGCTCGAGCTTGGAGAGCTTCTGGAAGCCCCCTTGGACAAGGGCAGCTGCCACCGGGTGGATGGCAGAGAAGTTGTACAGTGAGTGACTGAGATTCAGCTCCTGGATGGAATTGTTCCTAGCACTGAAAGCATCAGGATGGATGGTGACTAAGTGGTTATAGCTCAAGTCCAAGTAGCGCAGGTTCTGGAGATTGGAGAAGGCGTGGGACTCCACAGCATTAATCCTGGCAGGTGAAAAGGGACAACACAGGCATCATTCAAAAGTAACCTCATCTGAAATATATCTTGAAATAGTTCTTTAATCTTTTTACTGCTAGGTCCCCTTGTAAAACCGGTCAACAGGAAGGCGAAGGAACATTCCATAGAACTCAAAGGAGATCTCTGGCCTATCTAATTCAAAGGACCAGGCAGTGGCTAATCAGGAGAAAAATGTTGATTGACAGCTGATAACAAAGATGCAGTGCAGGCAGTTTTAATTTGTAGGGTTTTGCTGGGAAAAAGTGCAGGCTGCTTAAATTGCTTTCCTTCCTTGAGCTTATAAGCATCTGCAAGCCAGGGGGATTTTGAAGAGTTCACATAAAGAAAAGAGTAAAGCCCATTTATTTTCATCAGCATGGGGACATTGACCAGAAGGAATTAAGAAATTGACCAGATCAGGTTTTTCTGATAACATGAGGCATGGAATTACAATCAGAGAATTTGCAAAACACCAAGAGAACGTAGAAAACTGATGTTCATTCTCCTATTTGGTTTCTTCAAGGACTGACAGACAGGAAAACTACAGCGAAGGTCCAGGAATGACGCAATGAGGATTATAATTGTATAGCTGGACTACATAAAAATTGCACATTAGACCACACAGGGCTGAAAAATACCAAATTATTGGCAGTCCAGAAGGCTTGGCACATTTATGAAATGCAGGCCTCATGCTCATAATTTACATCAATGTTTTTCAAACTTGACAACTTTAAGATGTGTGGACTTCAACTCCCCAAATTCCAAATTCCCCCAGCATTTGGGAATAATACTTTAATCAAGATGCTTCATGCACAGCACAGGCCATGGAGTCAATCTAATTCTGATACAAAGGCAGCTTTCCATATATTTAAGATTCTGCCATTTGTATCTCAAGGCTTTGAGTACATTCAGTTACAGACACCAGGCTTAAACATCCTGCTTGACAGATAGATAGATAGATAGATACAGAGGTGGCATTCAGCAAGTTCTGGCCAGTTCTGGAGAACCAGTAGCGGAAATTTTGAGTAGTTCGGAGAACCGGCAAATCCCACCTTTGACTATGACAAATGCCCCCATCTATTCTCCACCTCCCAGGTCCCAGCTGATTGGCTAGGTCTTCTTTTGTTGCCCTGAACAGAACAATGGAGCTGGAAAGCAGGTTAGTGGGGTGGGGAGGGAATGGAGATTTTGCAGTATCCTTCCTCTGCCACGCCCACCAAGCCATGCCCACAGGATCAGTAGTAAAAAAATTGAATCCCACCACTGGATAGATAGGTGGATAGATAGGGAGAGAGAGAGAGATGCATTTACATGTGTACAGTATGCATTTTTCTTATACATTTCCTACATTTTATGTGTGTGTGTGTGTGTATTTTCCAAGTTTTCGCGGGTACTTGCATGTATGGTATTCAGCTTTGTTCGGGTATTTTCCCACATCATTATAGTTGTGCTTTTAAAGTTATAGCAACATTTCAGCAGAATCTCATCTGCTATCATCAGGCTTCTTTATTGTGTTCGAACACAATACAGAAGACGAACACAATACAGAAGCCTGATGATGGCAGATGAGATTCTGCTGAAATGTTGCTATAACTTTAAAAGCACAACTATAATGATGTGGGAAAATACCCGAACAAAGCTGAATACCATATATATATGTATATATGTATGTATGTATGTATGTATGTATGTACGTACATACATACATACATACATATTATATTCTCTCTCTCTCTCTCTCTCTCTCTCTCTCTCCCCCTCCCCAATGGTCTCTCAACATTTGGGCAATTGGCAATTGGCATGCATTTATGATGGTCCCAGTGTCCTGATCTCCATTTGCAACTTTCTCAAGTGACTTTTCAACAAGAAAAGTCAACGGAGGAAACCAGATTCCTTTAACAAATGGGTGATTCACTTAAGAACCACAGCAAAAAAGGTCATTAAATTGGGCACGACTCACTTAACTGCCCCGCTTAGTGACAGAAGTTCCAGTCGGGTCTATCTAGGCCAACTTGTCACTACGGTCAACTCACCGCAGACAACTTACTGTGGGACAATTTGCCATGGCCAATCCAGAGGAACAAGTGTTACACTTAATATTGAAGAAATGGTCGGATATAATCATTAAAGAAAGGATGTCAAAGGAGGAACAACATGAAATGTGAATCTCAAACTAAAATTATTTTAAAAGTATTTTAAATAATTAAAATGAGTTGTTGAATTGTTCCATGGCAAGTTGTCCTGTAGTGATTTGGCCATGGTGACTTAGCTGTGGCGAGTTGTCCCATCCCATTCCAGTCCAACCCTTTAGCCTTCTTAAGCCAATAATAACAAGGGCGGCCCTGCCTCCTATCCTATCTGACTCTAGTTTCTCACCCATCAGGAAGCTTTACCTGTTGTTAGCCAAGGAGAGCGTGACCAGATTGTGGAGTCCTTGGAGATCCTGGATACCAACATGGGCAATTTGGTTGCCGGTTATAAAAAGGTTGCGGGTGTACCCAGGAATACCAGCTGGGATGGAGGTTAGTTCCTTTTGGACGCACTTCACTGTACGAGCTGGTTCAGAACATTCACAAGGAACAGGGCATGGATGGCAGGAAAGGGGTGCCAGAACCAAGGAAAGGAGGGTCCAACCACAGTAGAAGCCTCCAGGGGTCATTTCCAATAAATTCCAATTGTAGCAATTCCTGGATGACGAAGAAAAAGATGGTCGGAATCCATAAACAGAATCTATTACAAGATAGGGAAAGAATATAAGATAACTAGTTCTATAGCGGTGCTTCGCTATGAAACTATGTGGTTGGGCTTAGATTTTTTGGGAGGTAAAGAAGGAAAAGAAAATTCTGCCTCTGCCTACCAGCATCTATCGCTATTCATCTGGCTAGCGTCCTGTCAGTGTGTGAGAGAGTTGAAGGCTGTTTGGAAACTGAAAGACTATTTATTGTGTGAGCAAGGAGGCAGCAAGGAGCCTGGGCACGGCTTAGCTCAACTGTTCTGTACTAAAGCTGCTTGGTGCTGTGAAACTGAAACTCCTCTCCTCTGCTTCTGTTTTGCATTTGGAGCAGATTTCTTTTCAGGTGGAGAGAGGGAATAGATCTCCTTAGCATCAGAGCATGTTAATAATATTGGAAATACTAATGCTCTGATGGTCATTTTGAAAAATCCTTTCTTAGTGAGCACCTAGAAGCCAAGAGGAACATATGTGCCAAATTTCAAGTTTGTAGGCTTTACAGTTCTGGAGATTTTGTGAAGAAGCATGAGTGGTATTTCACTTTTATAAAGATAGATTTGACCTATTCCTTTTAAGTTACAGGATAGCAAATTTCAGTGGAATATTTAAGAATTTTGCAGTGGCAAGAACTGTTTTTTAGAGGGGAATAGCTTCCCCTTCTCTAGAAGTGTTCAGATAAACTGGACAACTCTCTGCAGGACTACTAAAATCTGAATTTCTGCCCTAAATAGGAGATTCCATTCAGTGGTTTGAAGTCCCCTTAAATCATGAAATCTAAGGAATTCTAACTACCGTTCTTCTTTCTCTTCCACAGTACGGAACCCAAAGACTTTCCATCCCAGCTAAAACTTTATTTACACAAACATTACAAAATCTTTAACTAAATTTTCCTAAGCTGTAAGTTTATCCATTTACATCAGTCTGAAAGAAGTTTATCTTTTGCAGTCTGGCCACCCTAAGCTCTCAGGCTTTGCACGCAATTCTCACACCCAACATTTCTGGTTCAATGAATCAGGTAGCATATGAGAACCAAGCCATTCCTCTATAGAGTCTTTGAAGAGCGTAGTATGGGTGAGGATAGAGCATGCCAACTTTCTCCAGTGCCAGCTTTCCAGCTGTGTGGAATTTCACTGTTAACATTTTTGACTGTCCAGTTAGTGAAATGTTGAGACTCTTGAGATGAGTGAGTGAAGTGGGAGACATTACTTTTTGTAGCTGCTTTAAAAAAAACCCACATCATTACCTTTTCCTCAAAAATAAAGTTCTGGCTTGTTCTCCCTTATGCATACGGGGAATATTTCATTGTAGTTGAATTGGGATGTCCATTCTGGAAAGTCAGAACTGGATTGTCTCATTTGCCTTCATTTTGGGATGGGAACTAATGGGAAGAGTCCAGGCTGGAGAAGACAAAGTAAATGAATTTGGAAGAGGGTTTACCTTACAATACCTCATAAATATAGATAAAAGGTAAGGTTTGAACTCTAACTCTATTTTAATCATTGAGATCCCGGCCTGTTCAAATATCGGTCATAAAGCAAAACTTCTCTTTTTTTTAAAACAGACTTTATAATAATTACTCGACTATCAAGATAATGGGAGAGTTTGACATTCCTCATCTTGGGGGTTTCCATCCACCACCACCCCACCTTGGCAATTGTCATCAATACACCTTTGGGCCACACCTGCTTACAGAATGAAGGGGGAAACGAGACAATCCAGTTCTAACTTTCTAGAACGGACATCCCATTTCGACGACAATGGAAGACAGTCCTGAAATATTTCCCATGGGCATTTGAACTCCTTGCAAGCAGAAAGCTAGCATAAGAGAAAACAAGTCAGAACTTATTTCTCAGGAAAAGTCTTTTTTTTTTTAAAAAAAAAGCACCTATAAAAGATGATGTCCACTCATACATCTGAAGAGTCTCAACATTTCATTTTTAAACCCTATTCCTCAATTCCAGACCACCCCTTTTTGCCAGAGTGGATCCTGGAGAACCTTTTGTGAGAAAATTATTATTAGATTTCCATCCTATTGCAGTATCCTTAGTCCTCAAAAGGCACACACACAACAGGAAGATAACAGGCATAGAAATCATTATTCAATCAAGGTAATAAAAAGATAAGCAAGCACCCACCAGTGAAAAGCTATTGTTGCTGGTAAATCAGATTAAAAGCTGGACGTCTGTCTGCACATAAGGGGCTTCTCTCCATCTCTCCAGGCTGAAGTTAGCCGCCCGCTCGCCCCTCTGCCCTTTTTCACTGCCTCCCACCCACCCGCCCGACCAAATCTTTGGGGCCAAGCAGCCAATCAGAGGACAGGTCTGCCACCCCCACCCCACCCCGTCCCCAACCCAACCCTCAATGCAACCCCCTCCCCCAAAACGACCCCGTCTCCCCCTCTGCTTTTCACAAATGCACCCCACTAACGGCTTCTCCAGACGGCTGGACACCCGCACAAATCAAAAAGCGCCATTTCTTTAAAAAAAAATGGGGCGGATGAGGGTGGGGGGCACACGAAACTGAGGCAAACTTCTCCCGGAGGAGCGGCCGTGCTGCTTGCGTTCCTCCCTTCCCCCACGGCCCCCGCCTTCCCAGCCCCGGGAAAACAAAAAGAGGGGGAAGATTAGTCCTTCCCCTTCTCCCTCCGCCGGGCCAGACAATGGGATGCGATGGTTCCGAGGGGCGAAGAGGGCAAAGCGGGGGGGGGGGGTCCCGCCTCGTTTTCCCAGCCTTCCAGCCCGCCCCCTTAAAGACAGACCCGCCCGTCTGGCAGAGCTCGGGAGGCTCCTCCGCCCTCCCTCGCCCGTTTTAGTCTTCCCCTGCTCCTCCCTGCGCCGGGGGTCTTACTCGCCCCAGCAACAGCTGCCAAAAAAAAAAAAAAAAGTGAGGGGGGGGATTTATATGGTTTCTTCCTCCCATCACATAACAGGGCAGCATCTTTCGCGAAGCTGCCCTCAGCTGGTACCCTCCAAACGCGATTGGTGGCGGTCCTTATCGTGCCCAGCAGCTCGCACATCTGGGGGAAAGGTGTCTGCTGCTTCTGGAGAGGAATTCTCCCCTTGGTCCTGTGGACAGCCATCAATCTGGAATGAGCTGCAGTTATTTTAAAGTTCTACAGAGGAATTAGTGAGTCTGCCCTCTGCACTTTTATAACTGTCTGGTTTGGCTCTGCAACAGACACAGACTTCAGAGGATAATTAGAACTGCAGAAAAAAAAACAATTGCTACCAACCTGCCTTCAATTGAAGACCTGTATACAGCAGGAGTCAAAAAGAGGGCTGTGAAAATATTCTAGTCATAAATTGTTTTAACTCCTTCGCTCAAAACAACACTATAGAGCACTGCACAACAGAACAACTAGGCACAAGGACAGTTCCCCCCCACCCCAATGCCATCACTCTGCTAAGCAACTAATTCCCACAATGCTGTCAAATTACTTAAGACTGTATTACTATTATTCTTCTCATCCTTCCTATTACCTATCTCTTCCCACTTATGACTATAACCGTGTTGCTTGTATCATTACAATTTATATTGTTTTGTTTCCTAGTATGATTTGATTGCTTATTAATAATCTATGACTATCACTAAGTGTTGTATCTTATGATTCTTTATTAATGTATTTAATTTTTTCCTTTATGTACACTGAGAGCTTATGCACAGAAGACAAATTCCTTGTGTGTCTAATCACACTTGGCCAATAAAGAATTCTATTCTATTCTATTCTATTCTATTCTATTCTATTCCATTCCATTCCATTCCATTCCTCTATTCTATTCTATTCTATTCTATTCTATTCTATTCTATTCTATTCTATTCTATTCTATTCTAAAGCATCCATCTGAGGGTGGAAATTAAAGACTGGGTTGATTGATTTGATTCTCATTCATGCAATGTGTGTATCTGCCCATCTCAAACCAAAGACTCTGGGCAGGGGACAACTCCCCTACTCCCCACTAAATTGGTTAAAACACTATGCAAAAGAAAATAAAAGAAATTAAATACAAATAGCAGCTAAAAGATAAAATCTAACAGTGTCAACACAACTAGGAAAAGTGGCTCTTCATACAGTAGGGACCTCAGCCTGGGCACATAGCTAGGTGGTCTTCAAGACCTTTCTAAAGACTAGCAGGGTTGGGGGCAACCTAATCTCTGGAGGGCAAGAGAGAGAGTGGGAGCTACAGCAGAGAATTTCTCCTGGTCGCTGTTGTCCAAGCTCACCTATTCTCCAGTTCTTCTTGACTGTCCATTGTGATTTGTGCCACTCTGCTCTTCATCGTCCCAGGTACAATGAGATTAAGGCCAAATTATTGGTGGTAGGTGAATTTAAGGGCTCTGATCTGGGGAAAAAACCCGAACACTTCTCTTGTAAGATCTGTTTCCAACCATCAGCAATCAAGTTGCTACTTTTGCCCTGCTGTTGTGTAAAACTTGGAAAGAACTACTTAAGTTCTTAACTGTTGCCTTAGCTTTATTTTGATGTTTTTTTTTATATGTACTCCTCCTTGTATTACTTTATTTTACAATGTTTTACTGTTTACTTTATTGCATTTTATGGCATATCTTATTGTATTATGTTTGATGTTATATCCTGTGGATACAACAATAAATTTATTTATGATGTCTCCAAAACAGCTAAAGGACATCAAGTTGCATTTTGTAGCTTTTCCCTTTTTCCAAAAAGTTAGGACATTCTCCCTTAAAATTTAGGCAAACCTTTTTTCTATTAAAAACTTCAACATCGTTTCATTTTTGAAAGGGGAAGGCATCCCTTCATTCTTATTTTAGAATTACAGAATAACAGAGTTGGGAGACAACTTGGAAGTCTTCTAGTCCAGGGATCTCCAACCTTGGCAACTTTAAGACTTGTGGACTTCAACTCCCAGGTTTGCTGGCTGAGGAACTCTGGGGGTTGAAGTCCACAAGTCTTAAAGTTGCCAAGGTTGGAGACCCCTGTATCTAGTCCAACCCCCTGGCTCAAGTAGGAGAGCCAATATCATTCTGGACAAACGGCTATCCAATCTCTTTGAAAACCTTCAATGATGGAGCACCCCCAACTTCTGGAAGCAAGCTATTCCACTGACGGATTGTTCTCACTGACAGAAAAATTCTCCTTAATTCTAGGTTGGATGTCTCTTTGTTAACCTTCCATCCTTCTTGTCTTGCCCTCAGGTACTTTGAAGAATAGCCCCTCTTTTGTGACAGCCTTTCAAATATTGGAAGACTGCTACCAAGTCAACCCTAGTCCTTCCTTGTTAGACTAAACAAACATTTCCCACAAACATTCTCCGTACTGTTTAGCCTCCAGTCCCCTCATCATTTTTGTTGCTCTTCTCTGAACCCTTTCTAGTGTCTCAACATCGTTTTTGTATCCGTTCTATCTCTTTGCACACACTCCTTTCTGACTTTTCTTTCTCCAAGAAAAAATATACAGTTCTTATAAGCTAAATCCTAGATGTAAGCAAAGAGAGGATGCTTAAAGTTACATTTTGGAGAAAGAAAATATACCTAAACTGTCCACCTGGTCCCATTTATTTTGTGACATGCTATCTTGCAAATTTTGGTTTCTTTTTGAAGATACACCGGTAGAGGATAAAAACATTTCATTTCTGCACTTTTAAAGGCTAGCTTTGAATGCAGCTCCCTCCCCGCAAATATTATGCAGAGTTTTACAATCAGAACCAAATCTTGGTAGCCAAGATTAGAGAGCTGGCAAGGATGAAAGAAACATGAAGCAGGCGACTTGAGAGTTTGGAACATGTTATCTGATGAGCAGATGGGAAGCTCAAGCAAGAGGATAATTAAGCAATGCAGCTTTCCTTGGATAAACAACAGCGGAAGGAGAGAGCAAGAACGGGAAAGTGGCTAATGAAGCAAGGCAAGCTGTAAATCTTGGCATTCGTTTTCATAGCAGGCAAAATGTGTTTCTCTTTAGAAAGGACAACACTGTGCCTAAAAGGATTGACTTCCCGCACCTGTCTAGAAGTACTTAAATTGACAAGAATGTTGGATATAATCAGCCAGATGAAAGCTTCATAGTATATTCAAGTGTCCAATTTGTGATTGAATTCACACATAACGTAAAACCATAGTGAAAGTTTGACTTTGTTTCAGACTTAACACAATATTATCCTTCTCATCTTTCCTACTACCTTCCTCTATTGGTATCTTATGATTTATCACTTGTTTGTATCATGTGATTTATGGTTGTACCTTGGGATTTATGATCTATGATTGGTCACTTTGTTGTTTGTCTCAGTTGGTACACTGAGAGAGCTTATGCACCGGAGACAAATTCCTTGTGTGTCTAATCACACTTGGCCAATAAGGAATATTCCACTGTATGTCTCCAGCTATGGTGGTTTATAACATCATGCCTTTTGAAACTCGGCCATTGGTAGTTTTACTCAATAAACCATGGTTAAAGAAACCCCAGCTTCAGTGCTATAAGAAATCCAATGCATATATTGTGGGAGCTTCATCACTGGAGGCTTTCAAGAAGAGATTGGGCTGCCATTTGTCAGAAATGGTGCAGGGCAAGGATGTCAAACTTGTGTCATCATGGCATCGTCATGTGACGGATCAGGCTAAACTGGGCAGGGGTGGGGCCACCACATGACACATCCGGACCACAGGCTGTGAGTTTGACACCCCTGGTGTAGGGTCTTCTACTTGGGGGGTTGGACTAGATGACCTACAAGGTCCTTTCCAACTCTGATAATCTGTTATCTGATTTATATTCCAGGTTCTAAAACTGCTGGTGGTTTTGGATCTCTCTCTCTCTTAAGTCCATTTATGATGTCCATTTATGATGTCCGTTTGATTTGTATCTCTCTTTTATGTCTTATGGTTTTCTCATTTGCAATGTATAGCTGTGAAAGTTGGACCATAAGGAAGGCTGAGCACCAAAGAATGGAGGCCTTTGAACTCTGGTGCTGGAGAAGACTCCTGCGAGACCCTTGGACTGCAAGGTGATCAAACCAGTCAGTCCTAGAGGAAATCAACCCTGACTGCTGTTTAGAAGGTCAGGATCTGGCCTTCTAAAGAGGAAATTCAAAGACTTTGGCCACCTAATGAGAAGGAAAGACTCACTGGAGAAGAGCCTAAGGCTGGGAACGATTGAGAGCAAAACAAGAAGAAGGGGACAGCAGAGAAGGAGGTGGCTGGATGGAGTCACTGAAGCAATAGGTGTGAGCTTAAATGGACTCCAGAAGAGGACAGGAAGGCCTGGAGGAACGTTGTCCATGTGGTTGTGATGGGTCGGACACGACTTCTCAACTAACAACCAGAACAACTTATGTCCACACATGCATGTTTTGCTTGCTTGCTGTCTTGTAGCATTAGAATGAGTTGGACTCCCTGACCGCCTCTCTATTTGATCTTAGACTCTGTTCAAAAAAAAAAAAGGGGGGGGGTGGGAGCTACTTAGCAGAGCATCAGGCCACAGTGGGGGAGGTGAAGGCAGAAAGGAAAGGAAGATGAAGCAACTGAGACCGCTGTCATTTCAAAAGCCCCGGAGGCCCAACAGCTTAAGTGCAATTTGATATCATTGCGCCAGGAAGGCCTTTGATGGGGAGGAGGGGGGAAGAGATGGCTTGCAGAAGGAAAAAGACACCCTCCCCATCATCCAGCTGTGACCAACCCTCTCTTCCCACATCAAAGCATGCCTGGCAGCTGGATCCTGTGGGGACAGGCCTTCCTCCTTTGCAAACTCTTGCTTTCACAGGCTTTCCTGCTGGGTGGGTTCTTTCCCTGCCTTTCAGCCTCTCTTTCTGTCCTCCCGGAGAACCACATAGTTTCCCCCTAAATCCTGGAATGTTAATTCCCTGTTGCTGGGATCTCTTTCTTTGGCTCCCCGCTCCCCCTTCGCCCCCTCCCCTTTTTGGATAGAGAGGGCCCCAAGGCAATGGATCCTGCGGGAGGCAGGGAAGAGAAATGTCCAAGCCAAGGAGGATTAGGCAACCTCAGTGATTCCGATTAAAGGCCTGGTTTGTGCGCCTAACTATAGCGGGTGTTATTGACTCAGTCATAACCGAGTTGGTCTGCATCTCACGTTGAACACACTAAGATCCAATCCAACAACACACCTTGCAGCAGGGGTGTCCATCCTTGGCAACTAGAGGTGTTCCAATATCTCAAGGGCTGCCACAAAGAAGAGGGAGTCAAGCTATTCTCCAAAGCACTTGGTGGGAAACTAATCAAGGAGAGAAGCAACTTAGAACTAAGGAGACATTTCCTGACAGTTAGAACAATTAATTAGTGGAACAACTTGCCTCCAGAAGTTGTGAATGCTCCAATATGGGCGTTTTTTAAAAAGATGTTGGATAACTATCGGTCTGAAGTGGTGTAGGGTTTCCTGCCTAAGCAGGGGGTTGGACTGGAAGACCTCCAAGGTCCCTTCCACCTCTGTTATTCTATTCTATTCTATTCTATTCTATTCTATTCTATTCTATTCTATTCTATTCTATTCTATTCACTTTAAGACCTGTGGACCTCAACTTCCAGAATTTCCCATGCTGGCTAGGAAATTCTAGGAGTTAAAACCCGCAGGTCTTAAAGTTGCCATAGTTAGACACCTTTGCCTTAGATTACCTATTGTGAAAGCTCAGGTATTGTATCAGTGAAATGTATTTCAAATAAGTCTGTGCACTCTGTGGAGTCTTAGAGACAGGGGAAGTCCTCCCCATTTCAGGCAGCACACCAATGTTGTCTCCACAAACCTTCTCCAGAAGGTAAAGAAATGGAACAGGCAATTTCTCCATTTTTTTTTTATATCAGAGATGAAGAAATTGAGCTTCCTGATCCACCTCTAATCCAAATACTAGACAGATCTAACCAATCAAGTCCAGCAAAGATATCTCTAATGAATAGCCTGTTGCTATAGGAAACACCTAGGTATCTGAGATTAGGTAAGCGTGCTGAGAAAAACCTTCCCCAAAAAAGAGGGGAGGAAAGAGAGAATAGGAAAACAGGATGACTTCCTCATTGTGAGAGTTTTGCCCATAATATTACAAAGTATAATATTTTAAAGATCGGCCTAAGGCAGTTTGCTAACCTTGCTTTTAAACCTGTTGAAAAAAAATTGACGAGAACTGCAGTTAAATCTTTCTTGAAGAATGGTTATCAGAAAAGATCCTTCAATCCACTCCAGAGGTATAAGTGCTGGGACACAGATTGATAAGGATGATAACAGCCTGCAGGCTATTCTGTTATACACCTGGTCCTTGACTTATAACCATCCATTCAGTGACGGTTTGAAATTACAACTTTACAATGAATTATAGGCCCATTT